CTTATGTATACCAACTGACTCTGCCTTCCATTCCATTTTATAAATCACACTGAAAATGTCAGAAGAAAAAATTGTCATTAGTGGTCTACTGAGGCACTACTGGAAAATAGGACTAAGTGCGAAAGCAGCAGCTGAGGAAATTTGTGCAATGAAAGGTGAAAATGTTGGGCATCATAACACTGGTTCCATTCTGGGTACAACCTACTTCAAGACGAGCCTAGATATGGTCGCCTTTCAGTGGTGGCTGAATTTCTCAACTCAGTCAATAAGGATCCGTGTGCGACCAATCGAGGATTATTGTCCAAAATGGGGGTTTCAAATGCAACGATAAGCCACGATTTTAATTTAAAAAAATCTTAATGTCCGAAATATGCAACCCAGATCAGATCCTCAACTGCATAAGCTCAACAACGAATTGATATATTTAAGAAGAGGATTGCAACGTGTGATGAAAAAATGGATAATTTTAAAAAATCCTATCCACCAAAACTATGGGTATCACAAGGCCAAGAGGTTCAAGCGTTCAGGTTTGCCAAGATCAATTTGGAAAAAAGTGCTTTGTGTTTGATGAGTAATGAGGGTGTTTTGCACTTTGAGCTGGGTCCAGATGGCAGGGCAATTGATGTAGAGCTTTACTGTGAACAGCTCGAAAAAGTTTATGGGACAACACTCCTCAAAATGCTCATGTGGCGATATTTCAGCAAGGCAACACTCCTGCCCATTATTCAAGTTTAGCCAAAGAAAAAATGTCAAAAATGAAAGGTGTTAGCATCTTGCCCCACCCTTATTACAGCCCTGACGTCGCACCATTTGACTGTGGTATTTTCCAGTCAATGGTGCATTTTTTTGAAAGGCTGGAACTTAGGAAACTACGAGGATTTCAAATTAGGATGTGAGGTGTTCTTCGCCTCGAAAGCCGAGGAATGGTATCACTACCAAATTCAACTTCTGGCAGAAAGAAGGGTTCAAATAGTAGATAATGATGGCCTATATTTTGAGGAATAATTTTCATGTTTACATTTATTCCTATTATACTAAAATTTAAATAAAACTTAATTTATGCACAAATACTTTTGTAATGACATAGTATAAGCCTAGATTGTCAAGATTTGTTTAGCAAATTGTGAAGTTGTTCAGAAAAATATTAATAGAGGAATTAAATAATTGTAAGTGATGGATACAAAACCATCAATTATTAAAGTAAATAAAACCATTATTTAAATATTCAATATATTATATATTTTCAGACAGATCAATCAAAACATTTTTTTTTTTTTGTTCTTTTACTTTTTTCCTTACAAATCTGGCAAATGAAATCACTTACTATAAAAAGTGTATAACAAAAATTAATACTTTCATCAGAGCCATCAATCAGCACAATTAAATCATATAATATTTCTCAAAACAGTATATTAGAAGGGGTTTGCATATAAAAAATGTATGTGTTATAATAAAAATACTCTTTTATTTTGTAAATATTTGTTGTTTTTACTTTTATTTTATATTTATCATTATATCAATACATATATACACATATATACAAAATTGAGATTATGACTTCTTACACCAGCTATGAAAATAATCCAGTTTGGTGTTTTGGTCATCCTGGGTCAGACCTCAGTCTTATCCATCTCACCAGCAAAATTAAGCTCCAGGCTGTAACAAGATCATTTATCCCCCAAGGCATGCAATTTTTTTAACTTAGATGCACTCTCATTCACTCTTAAATACATTAATTGATAAGTATAATTCCTTGGCTCCCTTTAGGGAGCGAGTAGGAATGCCATCCAATTTAAGAATGAATACAGTAGCAAATCATTGTCCCCTTCTAATTTCTGGAGGAAACTGAAAATCCTGTGTATATGTATTTCGTTTATTGCTCTTGTTGTATATATTTTAGATTTGGGATAGATGTTTTAACTGTTTTGGGAGAATGTATTTATTTATATGCGCGAATGTGTGTATGTAGTACAAGAGTGTCAATGGCAGAATATCGAGTACCCCATCAACCTTATGCATATGTCTATGTACTCCTACAAAGTACTAGATTTTCCTCCACCATCCTACTTGAGTGAAAAATGTGTGAATAAGAGGGAAAGTATTTAAGAATGAGTGATAGAGTGAGTATGTTAATGTTATAATGTTAATGATTCTCGTGGCTTGTCAAAGGCTCAGTTCTGCACACATGCGTTCACACATGCATAACAGTAGACTCTTGTCTGCGCTTTCATTATTCGCACTTTCACTCATAACCAGTTGCTGTCCCTCGCTAAGTTCAAGAGGAGAGTAGGAACATGGTGAATCACAGTCAATTTAATTCTTATTGAAAAAACTTGAAATATATGTACATATATTCATACATTGAAGATAGGCACACGTAATACAGAAAGTGTCAGATTGGCATGCAGATGGAAGAAAATGCTTTGAAACCCGAAATTCATTTTGTATTATCTGAAGTGATTTTGGTACATATCCCCTGTGGATAATGAGAGTCTTCTGTATGGGCAGAATTGAACCTATATGAATAAAAAAAATACATAAATAATCTAAAATGCATTATTTTCTATTTACAACCATTTACTCGAGTATGGTGGTGGAGTATTCAATATTCAACCAACCCTCTCATACTTCACATTCACTCTCAATGTACACTAAAAGAAACACAAAATGAAATATATATCAAGTAATACAATAAAACAGCCTTTCCTTCAAAAATTGGAACAGGGAAACTCAAATACTACAAATATGTATATGCTCTCTATATGGAGCCAAGGAAAGACACCTTACAACTAATTTCATCAAGTAACCTTTCTCTACATGTTGGGCACATATACAGGATTTGACTTAAAATAATCCATACATTAGCCTATTCCTATTTGGGTGGGACTGTTTTTATTATTATTATTATTTTATTGATAAATATAATTACAATTGGAAAATAATTCCATGTAAATTTTTGTTGTAGCTTGTAGATGTTTGTAGGTGTAGACATTTGACAAATTTGTGTTGGAAAATGATCACCTACTCGTTCTTGGTAGAAACATTTTACTGTATTAGTTTCCGTGTATATTCCAGTATTAACTAGTGAAAATATTTTCCTATACGAGAAAGGTTTTGGGTTGTACTGATTTGACTAGTTAGAATAGTTTCAATTCTTTTCTCTACACTATTCATCCTGGACAATGATAATGACTTAAGATGAATGGAAAAAGTCAAAACCTTCATTTCAACAAAAAAGTTTTTTATTGTAAAAATACTTTTACATCAACAATGGAGAGATTACAACTAAAATTACAGAAGTAATCTAACCTAAGTAACCTAACAACGACATGCAAACCACGAGCTGAACAACTGTACCAAAAGGTTTTACCATTAAAAACTGACCATATTATAGTAAATAGATATATACATATTTACAAAATAAAAACTTTGGTTATTGTTTATGATAAATCATTACATCATCATTCACATCATCATCGCATTATATAATAATTGTTGTCTTGACTGTTTAACAAATACATTCACATCAATTATGTATTCAATTCATAATCATAATATTATGTGTGGTGTTTAGTGATTGTTATTCAGAAATCGTGAGATGCGGTCTGGTGTGATGTAGGTTTCAGAAAAACGTTTTCTTTATCATGCCAACGTTTCGATCTTTATTGAGATCATCTTCAGGGACTGGGATTTACAAACATTGTTTAAATTTAACAAAAACATGTAGGATATGGAAAAAAGTGAATTTATACAATAATTTTTTTTTTATATATTCAATCAGAGTTTTTGTATGAGTAGAAATACTTTGATTGAATATTTTTAAAAAAATCTTGTTTTGCATTGTATAAATTCACTTTTTTCCACATCCTACATGTATTTGTTAAATGTAAACAATGCTTGTAAATCACAGGCCCTGAAGATGATCTCAATAAAGATTGAAACGTTAGCATGATAAAGAAAATGTTTTTCTGAAACCTACAACACACCAGACCGCATCTCACGATTTCTGAATAATCATAACAATATTACTTCATTGCAAAAATATATGTACACCCTGGGGAAAAACTGGATGAGTCAAAAAACCCAACTTGTCAGAATTGCAAGTAATCGAAAATCTTATTAAGTAAACATGTAACAAAAAATAACTAATTATTTTATTATAAGCTTTCATTAATTTTACCATCATAATAGCTATCTAAATAAAAATTACTTTTGCACTATTGATCACCGTGATACTTTTTTCCATTTGTTTACTAATTCTTTTCCTATTTGTACTAAAAAACAGGGACTTTGGAGACTGTATGCTTGTTTAAAATTTCAATTCCTCAACATCAATTCTGGTTTTATAAAAAAGAAAGTAATAAATAAAGGAAAACGAAAAAGGAATCATAAATAAGTAAGTTCACTAAAACTTAAATTGTTCCATAGGTGCCTCATCAGGGTTTGAGGATCATGTGGATGATGCTAAAGGAGTTTGATTCTACATCCTCAAAACTCTGATGACCTTTGGAACAGGCTGAAATGCCTACATAAATTTAGTAAATATATCACAATGTGTAAAACATACAATATAACATATAAAAACATACAATCTTGAGCGAGTGCGTGGTTTTTTACAAATTCAATATTGCAACACCATTCCTGGTTATCTATTTATGTTTAGATAGATAGATAATTGAGTTTTATTTACAAGATGAATACAAATTAAATTTTCTTTTGCTTATAACACATACAGCATGATCATCTAGTTCCTATTTATGATCGTAAAAAGCTCCACTGGGAGGAGATGGTTAAAAAAAATTTACTTTCCATTTAAATATTTAAATAAATATTTAATTAGTATTTATAATTAGTATTTTTCCACTTCAGATGGATTCATCGAGCAGAACATCCGAAAGACCGAGCGTTAACCTCGGCTGGTTTCGAAGTTCGCGCCTCACTTCATCATTATCACTGGTGAAGGCTCACGACGATTGGCACCGTGAGGTGAGGTCAGCCGTCAGGTGACCTCAAGGCTCAGTGTCGGATCATCAGTGACAGTCGGAGTCGGTTGACTTGTCAAGTTCTCATCGGTGCTTACATGTGAAAATCTAGCGATGATTTAAAGAATAAATCATCCAGCTACCATGTCGCTTGACGGGGAAAAAGTTTTCCTGGGTTTTGACTTCAGCACTCAACAGGTGAGCTTGTTCTGTCTAGATGGAAATTATGTTTTATTATTTAAAACAATTCTTTCTTCCTTAGCTGAAAAGCGTCGTGATCAACAGCAAAAGAGAAGTCCTTCATGAAGCCCATGTACTGTTCGACAATGATTTACCAGAATTCAGGTTTGTTTATTGTTTATTTTATAGACAGCAATGCTTATATTGAAAATTCTGACCTTTGTTTATAGTTGATCCATGTTCAATATGTTACTGGTTTGGGCCTGAAATCCCTAGCTTTTTAATTGTTCAGACTGGAAATTTAGTTGTCTATTCACTCCTTGATTGATTGAATTTCATAAGGTAGAAAACTGGGATATTTGAAAAAATATAACATTTCAGAAGATTCAACCATTTCGTCGATACTTTTGTCTATCCTGCTTCTTCTATTCTCACTTATTTTACTGTTATTTTTGTTTGGAACATGACCCAGACAATACTACAATCAAACGACAAAAATGTTTAGTCGTTTCTGACCATATTGGTTTGACTATCCTTGCAGTTTTGGCACTGAAGAAGTTAAAATACATCTGACAGACCAAACAGCCAGGATAAGCAGACCAAAATTGTCATAAATGACCAAATTATAGATTCATCACCCAACAAGGAAATCTTACTACAAATCTTGTCAGTCAGAAGATTAAACTATTTTTTCTCTTATATCTTGTATCTCTTTACTTATTTTACTGTGATTTTTGTTTTGGGACATGACCCTGACAATACCAGGATCAAACGACAAAAATGTAGTTTAGTCGTTTCTGACCATATTGGTTTGACTATCCTTGCAGTTTTGGCACTGAAGAAGTTGAAACACATCAAACACAGGACCAAACAGCCAGGATAAGCAGACCAAAATTATCATAAATGACCAAATTACAGATACATCACCCAACAAGGAAATCTTGCTATAAAGAAATCTTGTCTGTCAGAAGATTAAACCATTTTTTCTCTTATATCTTATATCTCTTTACTTATTTTACTGTTATTTTTGTTTTGGAACACGAACCAGACTTTTTGTGGAGGACAAAATGCAGAAACTCATCTGACAGACAATAACGACCAACAGCAATCGAGCAACAAAAATGTTGTAGATGGTAGTTTCTGACCATATTGGTTTGACTATCCTTGCTGTTTTGACCCTGAAGAAGTTGAAACAGATCTGTCAGTCGGGGCGCATTGGTGGCTGCAACGGTTTAGGCGTTGACACGGCGCTCATCACTGTGAAGTAAGGGTCCCGGGTTCAAATACAGCGGCTCTGTATTCAAACCCAACATACTTACAAATGGGCTTTTTTTCAAAAACACCGACACCCGGAAGGTTGATATAACCCTGCTGTTGTAAACCCTTGTTTAAAAAAAAAAAAAATCTGTCAGATCAAAACTGCCAAGATAGGCAGACCAAAATGATCAGAAATGACAAATTACAGTTTCATCACCCAACAAGGAAATCTTACTATAAAGAAATCTTGTCTGTCAGAAGATTCAACCATTTTGTCTATACTTTTGTCTATCCTGCTTCTTTTTCTCATTTATTTTACAGTTATTTTTGTTTTGCAACATGACATAGACCTTTTATAGATGACAAAATATTGAAACACACGTGACAGACAATACCAGGATCAAAAGAGAAAAATGTAGTTTGGTCGTTTCTGACCATATTGGTCTGACTATCCTTGCAGTTTTGGCACTGAAGAAGTTAAAACACATCTAACAGACCAAACAGCTCGGATAGACAGACAAAAATTATCATCATTGGCCAAATTATAGCTTCATCACCCAACACAAGGAAATTTTACTATAAAGAAATTTTGTCTGTCAGAAGATTCAACCATTTTGTGTATACTTTTGTCTATACACAAGTGATTCTTTTATTCTCACTTATTTTTGCAATGCAAATGCATGTGACAGACAATGCCAGGATCAAGCGAGAACATTGTAGTTTGGTCTGACTATCATTGCTGTTTTGACACTGAAGACGTTGAAACACATCTGTCAGATCAAAACAGCAAGGATAGGCAGACCAAAATGAGCTGAAATGCCAAATTACAGGTTCAACATCCATCAAACACTAAGAGGAAATCTCACAATATATGCATCTTGTCTGACAAATTATTCAACCTGGATCATAAAATCGCTGACCATAACAAATTGTGTTACATTCAATTTTGTTGATATATAATTGATAGAACGGAAATGAGCATTTGTAATTTGAATCTTCCATTGAACAGGATGATCCCCTGATTAACGTGTCAAAATCTCGGCTCATAAGCACTCATTAGGCAGATCATAATGATCAGAAATGACAAAATTACAGGCTGCCAGGAAATCTTACTTTATAGAAATTTTGTCTGTTAGAACATTCAACCAATGTACATACCATTTTGTTTATACATAGCTGATTGGCTGAAATGAAAATTTGGAATTAGAACATTCCATTAGAACATGAAAAAATTTTTAATTATTCTTTCATAATCTTTTTAAAAATTCTTTGGGTAGATCTCTTATCATCCTGCAGAACGTAGGGGCACACAATTTTTTATGTAATCATGTTTTTGGAATGTAAATAAAAAATAGGTTGAGAGTTGGTGTCCGAGTGGATCGAAGTGACGATAGCGTAGAGAGCAGCGGCGTATTGAACTGAAGGTCGTGGGTTCGAATCCTGCTAATGACACTGACATTTTTATCTCAACCGATACCTTACATAAAAAGATTAATTAATTGAAAGAAGTTATTTGGTCAATCAGACTACGAAATATAATGGATTTAGTAAATGAAAAGGGTGAAAGGAGTTTGACATTCAATACCAGAATCGATGACAATCAAGATAGAGAAATGTAGTAAAATTAATGTAGTAAAATTAAAAATTATATATATCTTTCAGATATATATAATTTTTTTTCTACTTACCCTCACAGTTAAAAGAGAAAAAGAAGAAGAAATGCATCTGACAAACTAAAACAGCTAGATTAGACAGAAAAATAATCAGAAACAATCAAATGGCAGGTTTATCACCCATCAGCCCTTACAAGGAAATCTCACAATACATTAATATTGTCTGCCAAAAGATTCAATCTGCAGGATCATAAAATTGCAGCTCTCAAAAATTATGTTTCATTCTATGTTATTTATGGATAACTGATTAATCTAAAATGAAAATGAATGCCATGTACAAATCGATGTTTTTTGTTTTGTTTTTCTTTCTATTTGTAATCATATGGATTTCTTTCTTACTTTAGCACTTAAACTTTTGTCTGTTGTCTGCTAATGAATTTCCTAAATGATTTTTGTAATAATAGAAATATTTTCATGTTCTTTATAGTTCAAGAACGGTTTTCCCAAGTATTATAGCTTTTTTTCTACGTGGGGCAGTTGCATAGAATATGTTCTGTTGTTTCAGTCTCTTCTAGACATAATCATAATTCATAGCACCATTTTTTTAAGTTGGTACTTAACTGGACCAGGTCTGTAATATACCAGTTAATTCCATGATGACCTAGGAACCCACTTTTGCATTATGCTGTATGTAGATCCTAGGTGGCATTTAGACAGTTCCAGGCAAGTTTTGAGTTGATCTTGTAGGCTTGAACAAACTTTAGAACTGCCCAGCTATGTGACAGAATTATTATTGTTGCACCCTTGAGATCTTTGTTTTCAGTATTAGAAGTATCGACCACTTTTTCACTTACGAACACTCTGGATTAAGATATGGTCTTGAAGAAGAAGAAAATAAATATTTAAGGTCATCATCGGGACAAAACAAGGAAATAAAAAAAAATCGTCAGGGTCTTCACGGAAATTTGATATCGCTTGTATTAAAAAAAAAAAAAAATCAAATATGTCAATTTGTCGATATATTTAAGGTTGTTTTGCCCTGATGATGATATTAAAATTATTCGAAAGCTTGACATTAGTAACTAATTTGCTTTCTTCATCTTCAAGAGCTTTATGTTCACAAGTTTCTATGGTAGCTTGAAAGATGGTTGTGCTTGGGCCAAGGGCCAGGTGGAGGTAGACCCCTTTTTGCCCATACCCATACCATTTCAATGTACGAGTATGTCCGAACTAATCAATATTTCAAATCGTAATAATTCTTCACGTACTTTATAACATTGGGCTCAGATTTATCCAGCACAGTGTCCTTGATTATTAGAAATGTGTTTGACATTAAGTATTCGTTGGATATATTATTATGAAATATATTTTTTTTTTAAGTTTTGAGTTGATTGAAAAATCTTGAAATATCGTTATCAGTGCTCTTCCTTATCATCTTATAGAAAATACTTCGTTAATTTTTTTTAACTTTTCCACCATTTTTTCTTTTGTTTTGAAAACTCAGTCCAACACTCAGCTCCTCCTCATTCTTCTGTGCTGTGGATGATTTTAACATTACTCTAATTTTCTTCATTCTTTTTTTTTCTACTTTCTCTCAACTATTAACTTAAATAACCGACTTTCAATAAAATTGCAATTATCACTGGCTTCCATATTTGCTGGTAGGCAGAGACATGTTCAAAATGTTCTGAATAAATTCTGACTTATTCGACTATTTTGATTCCGTCAGAATTCAATCCACTGTAATCGTAGATGTTCATGTAGTAATAAAATTTGAGATGATTTGGCATACTGTGCCTTTTGAGAGTTGCTGTAATCCTCTTTATGCACCCTAGCACACTAGCAAAACCAAAACATCTGGAATTTGATTATTAGGCTTTAGAAGTTGTATTTCTTCCATGGTCACACTGTTCTTTCCATTTTCTCCTGCAGATAACAATAGCACCACTGTCTGTAGATGTGTTGGATCTCTTCTACCTCTTTGCAGAATCTACGTCTTGTTGGTTGATTCAATTCTTCTAAAAGTGGCCATCCAGTTCACAATATCCCATTATGGGTGCTGTTAATTTTCACTCTTTTCCTGATTCCTTTCTTTCACTTTATTTTTTATTTCTTTCCATTGTTTTCTCATTTTTACCATCTTTTTTACTAAGATACTTGACAGTTTAGATCTGTATTTCCACAAAAGATACCCCTCTATTATTGTATATCCTGGGTCCCATTTAAGTAGAACCTTTTTTTGCACACCTAATCTTTCAAAACTATACTCAAGCTAATAATGTTTGCAAATAATGCTGTTCTGGTTGGTTAACATATTCAATTTTGTACATTGTTCATTCTTTTCTGAATGCCAAATGATATTTATGGCAATCAATCATGTTGTTAAAAAAAAAACGTTTGTATTTCTTTTGCTGTTGGCAGATAAATGATCATACAACTGAAAATAGTTAATTCCTTTTTTTTTTTTTTTTTTTTTTCATCTTTTTTTAGGACACACAATGGAGTGGTCAAAGGCGATAAGAAGGCCGTGACAACACCTGTATTAATGTGGGTAAAAGCACTCGACATGATACTTGAGAAGCTCAGGGTTTGCGGTGCTGACTTTTCCAAAGTCTGCGCCGTCTCTGGATCAGCACAGGTTGGTTGTCCGAGAAGTATTTTAGATGTGAGCTCTAGTAAAGGAATCGTTACAGCAACACGGCACAGTGTACTGGTCCTGCGGCGCCGGTGAAGTCCTGAAAAACCTCGATGATAGCCATTTCCTCCACACCCAATTGGCATCCAGCTTCTCAGTCACAAGCAGCCCGATCTGGATGGATGGAAGTACAAAAAAACAATGTGTAACTCTGGAAAAAGCCATTGGCGGACCGATTGTAAGAATATTATTCTTTGTTTTGGAAATTGTGCTTTATATGCGATATTTCCTAGGAGTTAGCAAAGCTCACAGGGTCCAAAGCTTATGAGCGATACTCAGCAGCTCAGATTGCAAAAATAGCGGAGACCAAGTCAACAGCATATAAAAATACTGAGGTTTTTATTTATTATTTTAAATTAAAATAGTTTTTTTAATAAATAAAAATTAATAATATTGTTTTATAGAGAATAACGCTTGTTAGTAACTTTGCTTGTTCACTTTTACTCGGAAGGTATGCACCCATTGATTATTCAGATGGTTCAGGAATGAATCTGTTAGATTTAAGTACAAAACAATGGTCACCTGCTTGCATGCAGGTAATTTTTTGGTTTGCACATTTTACAAAAATTTTGTCTTGCTTTTAAATTTATTATAACTTCAACAGGCTACTGCTGTGGATTTGGAAGAAAAACTTGGCGAGCCAGTACCGACGAATACTCCCCTCGGTAAAATATCCAAGTATTTTGTCGAAAGATTTGGTTTTAATGAGGATTGCAAGGTTATCGCATTTACCGGGGATAATCCTTCTTCTTTAGCAGGTTCGTTAATAATGTTCGTTTTTTTTAACAAATCTTTACTCGAATTTTCTTCAGGTATGTGCTTAAATGATGGTGATTTGGCCGTCAGCCTTGGGACAAGCGATACGATTTTTATGTGGCTCAAAGAGCCTGTTCCACTCGCAGAAGGTCACATACTCATCAATCCAGTAAAACCTGACGAGTACATGGGTCTCCTTTGGTAAATAAACGGTCACTCTCAAACTACCATTAACGGCACCAAGGCTTCTTGCTCACACCGTCTCGGTAGGGATTTAATAAAATGTAGGATGCATGAGTTTATTTGGACTTTTCCTTTTTGATTTCCTGGTAGAAAAGGCTTATGGTAGCTATTTGAAGCATTTAATTGATATTTATACATTTAATTGGTTGGTGTTATTTATTGTAACAAAATTTGGTGTTTTTGCATCATTGTCAATAACCTTAAAGATTATAAATATCCAAAACTTTTTCATGGGTTTACATTGATGTATTAATTATAAATTGTACATATTAAGTATGCATGAATAAATATATTATTTATATAAGCTTGTTATAATTTCAGCTATAAGAATGGTTCAACAACAAGGGATAGATTGAGAAAAATATACGCAAACAGTTGCTGGGAGGAATTTAACTCGCTCCTTGATAGCACGCCACGTGGAAACTTTGGCTATATGGGTAAATATATCTCGAGGGAAAAAATGTCTCTTAATTTTAACTTTTTTTCTTCACCAGGGCTTTATTTTGATTTCGAGGAAATAATGTTACCTTTGCAAGGGGATTTCAGGTTTGATAAAGCAGGCAATGATATTGATAAATTCCCTTCGCCAGAAATTGAAATTAGAGCGCTTGTTGAGGGTCAGTTTTTGGCAAAACGAGCTCAGCTTGAAGATTTAAATATACATATCGGTAAAATTTATTTCTTTTTATTAAAAAAAAAAGAAATTATATATAAAATATTCGTATTTTAGGTGAAAATACAAGAATTATAGCAACCGGGGGTGGTTCTAAAAACCGTTCAATTCTACAGGTCATGTCTGATGTATTTTCATCTCCAGTTTATACACTGGTAATTGAAGATAAATACTTATAAATTAAAACACTTAAATTAACTTTTTTTTTTTTTTCTTCAAAAGGATTATACAAATATAGCAGCCCTTGGAGCTGCATACAGGGCTTTAGATTTTTCAAAATCTGTAGAAGAGAGGGAAGAAAAGACTGAACAAACAACTTCCCAACTCACTCTCTGTTGCAAACCGTTTACTGATTCAAAAGAGGTAGTATAAAATCAATAAAATAAAATTTGATATAAAATAAAACCTATATAAACTTTTTTTTAAAGCTGTATGATCCAATGGTTGTGAGATACAGAACAAACATAAGCAAACTTCTTTCAAAACAAACTGAATGAAGTCTATCTCAACAATTCGAACTACTAAGTGCAGTCAGGTGTATACTTTTTTTGTTATTTATTATAAACATTGTCTATCTTCTGTTATATAATCAATATTTTATTTAAATTTGCAATATTTTGAGATAAAAGTGTTACCAATACCAAGTGGATATAATTTTAATAATTTTTATTGTAATTTCCTGTGAGAGTCGTAAAATAAGTTCATCTAAGTACAATTTGTTTCTTTAGTGATTCTTCTATATACAGAAGTACGTAAACATCATATATGTAGTTTTAAAAAAATCATTTAAGTTTAATAGGCAGTTGTGTTCATTTAAAAAAATTCTCCTCTTATTGCATTTATCAAGTAGAAATTAACTGTTACTGGGAATTTAACTACAATCAAGCCAATACATTTTTACGTTCCGCAAGTTGTGTCTTATTCCCTCAAATCTTCATTTTATAACCAAAGGAAATCTTAAGTTATAAAAAAATGTGCTCTCTTACTCATTCCTAATATCTGTGAGTTTTTTTTGTTTTTTTAACAAACTGATGTATTTAGTTTTTACAGGACAATCAACCCCAGTTTACCATGTTGTCAAAGCCTCAAATCCTTATGGACTCTCAATCTCTGTCTAAACATTGTAAAATTGTATAACCGGGGTTTTTACAATCATGCTTACATAATTGACTGATCAAATCTAAAAATAACCACGTTTATAATGTTGACTTATTAGGAATTAATATTATTTAACAAATACTTCTGAGTTGTAATTAATTTTTAACATCATTCCATTATATAATTATATTTTGCAAAATAATTTTCTAGTCCAAGAGACATATAATTAAGTTAAGTTAAATGTCTTCCCTTGTTTTATTCTAATAAATTATTTAATTTGTTTTATCAACAAAGAAAATCAAATTATACTTTTTGTTTATTTAAACTACTGATACTTTTATTGTAACATTGTGATTCTGTAATGATTTAGATGTAAATATAACAATTTAGTTGAAACTTTGTCTTTATTTAAACCTTTTTATCTTGATTGACCTGCCATATCTTTCTTTTTAACTTCTCTCCTTTGCTTGAATACTTTCAACCTCATCTGCTTATGTAAGCTTTATATATGCTCAAGTATAATAAATATATGTACTTTGGTGCTTTGGCAGACTGGGGTCAGACTTAAGATCCATCCTACCATTTAGGCTCCAGGGGCTATCAACAAAGGTCATTTTAGCCCCCAACATTGAAATTAAAAAGTTAGTGTCACGAGTGGGATTCGAACCCATGACCTTCGGCTCAATACGCCGCTGCTTTAACCACTTGAGCTATCGTGACAATTAAAGTTACAGTGTTAATTTAAAGTTAAGAAGGGTTAATTTCATGAGAAAATATATAATTGACAGTTTTTTATTCATAAAATGAATAGGCTCTTAGAAGACCTATGATATTAATTATATAAAGTACAATTGAAATTAAAAATTATATAAAAGTAATAAAGGATTCTCTTTTTAATTTGAGAATTTTTTTAAATATAAAATAATTCGGCTATTATAAAAAGACTATAAGAACATTAATTAAAGTACAATTAAATACTAAAATTAATTTTTAAATAAATTAAATTTAAATTTTAAATAAATTAATAAATAAAATTTTTATCTCAACTAAAAACCTTAATTGAAAGATATTAATTGGTCAAGCGGACCACGAAAATTAGTGAATTTAATAAGTTAAAATGAAGTATATCTTCACTAAAGCTCTCCGTGGCCATTTCATTTGCGCCAAGAATCAAATAGATTACATGACATTTGAAAAATGGCAAAAAGGAGGAAAAATTCAAAAGGTGAGGGTGAGATGGGAAGTTAGTGTTCGAGTGGATCGAAGTCACGATAGCTCAACTGGTTAGAGCAGAGGCGTATCTAGCCGAAGGTTATGGGTTCGAATCCCGCTTGTGACACTGACTTTTTTATCTCAACTAAAAACCTTAATTACTTGAAAGGTATTAATTGGTCAAGCGGACCACGAAAACTAGTGGAATTAAAATAAATTCTTCTTCTTTTATTTAATGGTTAAAACCTTTCTTGACCAAACTGAAATAGGAAAGAACTTTAGGACCTGGATAAAAAACTGAATTATATAAATATATTCAAATTTTATCCTTCATTTTTCAATTTTATTTCTTATAATTTTTAATTGTAATTAATTTTCATATAGTGTTTAAATGCCAAATTATTTTATATTCTAAAAATCTCAAATTAAAGGAGGAATAATTTGTTTTTATATTTTATTTTTGTATGTGGTTTTAAATTTTAATTGTAATTTCTTTTAATATGGCCTTTTAAGAGCCCAATTATATTAAACTCATATGGTAGTTACTCATATATTTTATTCTTGTAAATGTTCTTGTCTTCTACATTTGGCTTAATTGCTTTTTTCTTTATTTCCTATTTGTAAAATATTTATTCTGTCATCAATTACATTGCAATTACTGTAATATATACAAATAAATAAATAGAAAAAATATATTTGAGTTTTTTAAATATAAAATAAATAGGCTCTTAGAAGACCATATTGTTATTTATTACATTCAGTAAAATTGAAATTGAAAATTTTATAAAAGTAAATATGAAAATAATGGATTCTCTTTTTAATTTGAGAATATTTTAAAATATAAAATAATTTGTCTATTATAAAAAGCCCAAATGAACATTAATTACAATCAAAATTAAAAACGAAGTACAATTAAATATTTAAATAAATTCTTCTACTTTCATTTAATGGTTAAAAATTTCTTGACTAAACTGAATTGGAAAGAACTTCAGGAGCCAGAGAACAAAATGAATTATATAAATATATCACAAATTTTTATCTATTACTTTTAAATTTTATTTTTTTATAATTTTTAATTGAAATTATATGAACTTATATTATGAAATTATAACGATATGAAAAATTAATTTTCATATCGTTTTTAAGTACCAAATTATTTTATATTATAAAAAATCTCAAATTAAAGGAGGAATCATTTGTTTTTCTATTTGATTTTTTGTATGTAGTTTTAATTTTAATTCATCTTCATATGGTCTTCTAAGAGCCCAATTATATTATATTTAATTTTTTCCCCCAAATGCAGGAATTTTTCTTTATATTCTTACATTTCATATCATATCCTAGGAATTTTTTGCTTTAAAGAAAGGGTTAATTTGAAATTAAAAAAAGGTTGCTTTGAAGGTAAAAAGTGTCAATTTGATGTTAAAAAGGTTTAATATTTAATATTTTATTCTTCTCTTCTATATTTTGCTTACTTGCGTTTTTCTTTATTTTCTTTTTGTACAATATTTATTCTGTTGTCAATTCTATTGTACATATTGTAATATTATACAAATTAATAAAATGAAGTAAAAAATACGTAGTCTTTCGTACATGTATTTTAGTTTTCAGTATTATTAATGTCCCATGGAGGGTCAAAAGTCAGGATGGTCGTTAGATACACAAGAATCTTGTGCTTGCGTGTGTGTCTTGTGCATTTTATCTTCTTAACTATATATTATATATAATTAATTATTTAAATGTACAATTAATTAAAGTATTGGGATTTGGAGGCCGGTACGCCCCTCTTTGGCGTTAGTTTGTATCTGTCTCCTTGGCTACGGTCGGCCCCCGCGACCACGACCCAAGCCGCCAGTATCGGCCGGGACCTCGAATCGTACGGACTGCCTGTCGTGGAACCTGTTCCAGTACAAAAAAGGGTTCGCAGTCATTGCGGCTTTCATTTCGGATTAAATGTTCTGAGGAGGTAAGACCGAACACGCCGGTACAATCAGCATCTCACCCGGGGCCAATAACTCCTCCGAGTTTCGAAATTAATGCCATGAGCCTTGCCGAGGGTGGAGTCCTTAATTGGTCTATAAATCGTTATAAAGAAACAATTTTATTGTCAATCAAGCTGCGAAGTCCTACAACTTAAAAGTTTCTTGAAGGCCCCTTGAATCCCCACAAGAATCAATCATCAATGATTTACATACTTTCACGAAAAAGAAATTTTTTTCCAGACGAACAGAAATAGTCGTAGATTTTCAGACAAAGTAAAGGTGATTCTTCTAACATTATTCGTGAACAGTAAAGTTGATTATGTTAATTTGTTGTCCATACATATTCAGATAATTAAAGGTAACTTAATTTTAAAAACATTCAATCTCAATAAAAACAGAAAAGTTCCTTAGTCAGTTTATCTGTACCGCTAATCTGCTAATTTTGACATTTTCATAAATATATTCAAAATACCTCACCAAATAAGATCCCATCCTCAGCATCCGAATTCTTATTAGAAAAAGAAAACAAATAAACTTTATTCTTTCGTTTCTTTAAATTTGTAAAAGGTCGTCTTTACGTAAACGTACACGAACAGAATTTTTAAAAAAAGTTATAAAAATTTTTGGCTTGTACAGCCATTGGTAGCATCTAAAAGATATGTAATAGTCAAGGACTATGACAACCACACCTTAAAACTAGTGACAAAAATAACTGAGGATGACTGTCGCGAATCAATTTATCTGTATTTTGTTTTCATATGTAATCTCTTCAAATGAACGAATTTCCATTTAAACGATCGGATTTCGCCTTTCCCTTCATTTGGATAAATCGTCATGACCACCTTTTCGAGGCTCGTTTACAGTTTAATTTGAAAACCGGCTTCTGGGCGTGACGAGAAAATCGTTTAACACAATATACGCTTGTATACCTCATATTTCTCTTTTAAATACCTAAATAAAATAAGTTACAGCAGTTAATTAAATCTTTACAGCAGTGGGTTCTTTTAGTTTTTCATAGTTAAAAATTTGATTTTTTTTTCTCCAAGACCTTGTGAAAAATTAGATCCTATTATTTGCAGTTGATAACAGAGTTTATTAGCGTTAATTATGCGTTTGTTCAACTAGTTATAGACTGTATTTTTACTTTTCCATTATCACACCCTATTTTTCTTGTGCGAAAAACATTTTTTAAAAATTAAGTCACGTTTTTAAATCATTATTTCAAATCGGATTTTGTATTTGGGTAGTCTTTCTACGAAATTATCGAGAAAAAAAATCCCAAATTATTTATCACATACATCTTTCAATAGGCTATTAGCTTAGTCACGAAATCTAGGTTTTTTCCAAGAGGTATTTTTCGCACAACAATTGACATTTTCAATATTAATAAATTGATTAATTGAAAAATTGTGAGATTTTGCCGTGTTGTGTGAGGGGTGATGAACCTGAAGTTTGGTCGTTACCATTTTGGTCCGCCTATCCTGGATATGTAATATCTGTCTTGGTTGTCGCCAGCTTCAGTGTGTCACACGAGGATAGGCAGACCAAAGTGATAGGGAGTGACCAAATATCAAAATAGTTTCAAAAAACTAGATAAATTTTTGTTAAATTATTGTATTTTTTTTAGATAACTACAACATTAGATGTCTCAACAAACAAAAAGATAACAGCAACGAAACAAACACACATCCAACAAACAAATAAACAAACACATCTAAAAACTAACATGTGCACAGCAACAAACATCACATACAATAAAAAAATCAACATACATCCAACAAACATATACGAAACATGACAACAAGCAAACACAAAACAAAATTTAAAAAACTATCAAACTCAGCACATTTAAGATACAAACATACATCCAACAGCTACCAAACACAACAAAAACAAGCGTCAAACACAAAAAAGAAATAATCACACCAGAATTAAACAAATCCCAAACACGCCCTAAAACAAACGTAACACAACAACAAAGAAACCGACAAACATCCAATAAACAAGCACCAGACAGACAAACACAAAACACAACTAAGAAATAAACACCACACACCTATGAGACAAACTTATATCTAACAACTAAAAACCACAAACACAAAAAATACACAATAAAGTAAGTAACATACATCCAACAAACCGCCCATAAAACCAAACACACATATACACACAGCAAAGAAAGAACATCTTACACAACAAAGAAACCAACAGTTATCTAATACCAAACACACACACGCACTCACTCAGTGGACAAACACAACAAAGAAAGAAACATTTTTCACAACGAAGCAACCAATAAATAAACAAACCCACATTTAACACAACAAACAAATACATTCACAACAAACAAATACACACACAGCAAACAAACACAACAAATTAAGAAACACACATTTGTTTTTACACAATAAAGAAATCAACAAACCCACATTAAACACAAGAATCAAATATATACACAGCAACCAAATGCAAACAACAAATTAAGAAACATACATTTGTTTTTACACTATAAAGAAACCAACAAATAAACAAACCCACATTAAACACAACAAACAAATACACACAGGGCAAACAAACACAACAAATTAAGAAATACACGTTTTTATACAAAAAGGAAACCCACAAATAAAAAAACCCACACTAAACACAACAAACAAATACATACACAGCAAACAAACACGACCAATTAAGAAGCACACTTTTTTTACGCAACAAGAAGCCAACAAGTAAACAAACCCACACCGGAAACAAACGCAACAAATTAAAAAACACATTTGTTTTTACATAAAAAAGAAACCAAAAACCCACATTAAACACAGCAAACAAATACATACACAGCAAACAAACACAACAAATTAAGAAACACACATTTGTTCTTATACAACCAAGAAACGAACAGATATTCCACAAACAATCATTATAATAATTAATCTGCATAAATTGAGAATAGCACGTAGGTCGGATTTAGGGAATGATTTGAATAGAAGAAAAGGCAAAATTTGACCGTTTGCTTGAAAAAGATTTTTGTTGAAAAGCCTTGTGAGGTGTTAGTAACCTCTTATTGTTCCCTCGTTAAACAGCTTTTACTAGTGTTAATATTTGTTTAGCTAGTTACAGTGTATGTTTTCCTTTTTAATTTATTGATTTTACGACAGCTATTTTGTAATCTTACACAAGTTTCTTTGACACTATAAGGACAGAATGGACGCCCGTTTGAAACAATATATTTTTTCGTATTTTATTGATCTTTCGAGCTCGACGGACAATTCACCGGTTCTCGTTAGCATTTAACATAACTGTGTTTATCTAGAGCGAGGCTATTATGAACTACTAATGCTTCGACTGTTGTAGGCAATGTTTGTTTCACCTTGGGCGAGGATCTAGTGGGATAATTACAACAAGACAGATTAGATCTTCAATTGTCCCCATGCCTGGGTTTCTCTAGCCACGTCTTTTGACTCGATTACGGCTGATATTTTTAAAAAAATCGAGACCGCCTGGAAAGTCATGGGTTTTTAGCAATTCAAGAGCCGAATATGTTTTTTTCCCTTCTAGGTTATAACTTTAATTAATAAAAGCTCAAACACATATTTATGGTGAAATTTAAACCTAGTAGGTTTTGACGAAAGCAGAAATCTCAAGATTATGCGAAGAAATTTGCTGACCGATTGAAAAATCAGGTCGTGACACGATTGATTTATTGTCCAACTGAGAACAAACGAAGCCCCTGTTTTTAATGCTTCGAACGAGAAACAAACATTTTGGAGTCGATTGTGGTCAATCACCGGCACCAATCTGGGTCAAACCAAGCATTTAGATTGGCACAATTTAGCTGTTGTTTTTAAACATTTGTCTAAATGGTAAAAACCGCCTGGTGGAAACATTGCATCGTATAATCTACCAGCAATTTCACCTGTTGATTCGATCCAGCGATAAAGTTCTCCAAAAAAAAACTTCTCCCGTCTGTATTTCCGCGGAAAAAGAAGGAAATAGATAGGCACATAGACATCCTGAGTAGTGTACTACGTAGAAAGTAGATTACGTTATGACTATTTGTGACTTTTATGTCAGAACTGTTTAATAATATGTAACGTATTTTTATTGTTTAGATCGCCTTTAAATTGTTCGAATTTGTTTAATTTATACATAATAATCTTATAAGGAGAGGCTACAGATCAACGATTTAACTAAGAAAATAAAGAATTCATATACAGAATCGTATTAAATGTGGGTAGATTTATAAAACAACCCAAATCAAATACACTTCCACTAAAGTATGCAAAAAATAAGTTTTTTGAGTAAAAAAAAGGATTCGTTTTAAGCATTCCTTAAAACCCTGTACAAATACATACAGTTTTGGACTTGTTCTGTCCGGCGTATTTTGTCGCCCTATGTCTGATATTCCAGCTAGGCTTTTACGTGTAATTTTCTAAAGTACGTAAGTAAGTAAAGTTGCATGACAATCGGTGAAGTTGTATCAAAGTAATGACCATTTATATGATTTTCGTGGAAAAAAATTAATTTAGTGAAAATTTTGTATTCAGGGGTTTTCGGGGCAAAAAACGACTATCTAAGAAAATACTTTAACCTACTTTGCCAAGCCTCTCGGTCACAATATTATTATGTGTTTTAATATATACCAACTTGCCTGCCCTTAGATTGATTCTTTTCGAGTTTCTGCTAAGTAGGTTAAATTTTTTATGCAAGAAACAAAATTGATATTCGTTTTTAGGGTAAATAAAAAAATCAAATTGTTCGCCTTTCAAAAGATTTGGATTTTGTTAGAAAATGATAAAAAAATATGATCTTTGGAACGACTAAAATTACCTGCAGGAAACTTCTGTGAGCTTTAGGACTCCATAAACTAACGAAATGCCATAAATTTAGACTTCGTAAATAAATTCGAAATAGAGATGTAATATAAAACGTTTGAGAAGTTTTTGTTCATTTCATCCTTATTTTTCTCCTTTATAAAGAAATAAAA